CGCGCGTGCGCGCGCATGCGCGAATGCTCGGGCACGCGCGCGCTCGCGCCCGCGCCCAGGGGGGGGGTCGAGAGCAGGGCGGGCCGCGCAGGGAGAGCGGGGGTCGACCCTGGAAGGCGCGGGGATTCCAGCCTTCATGTTCTAGCTGGCGTCCGCGCTATTTTGCGGGGGGGGGGGGGGGGGCGAAATGGGGGCGGGGGGGGGGGCTCGCATCGACGCCCTCGAACAGATCGTTCCGAGGGGGTCCTCGAGGGCCCAGGTGGTCTGGTCTGTCCCCCCCAGCGCCCCTTGCCGCGTCGGTTGGATCTGATTCGGCGGCGTCGAATGCGCGGGCGCGTTTCTGAAGCCGGGGCAAGCCAGAAACGAGCGCCACAACGGGGGGGAATGCGTCCGGGGTCGCACCCCGACCCCCCCCCCCCCCCCCCCCTGCGCCGCGGCAAAGAAGGCCGCGCGGCGAAGTGGCAGACCCCCCATGCAGCCGCGGGCGTCGACCACGACGCACTTCAAGCATTGCTGCACGTTTGATTTGTTTCCGGGGCGGTGCTAGCTGCCACTGTCCGCGCATCGCGCCCAGGGCGGGGCGTCGGGGGGCGCCGCGGGACCTCTGGCGTGGCCACTCTCGCGCTCTGGGGCATTGAAGTGCACCCCCGAGCGCGGAATTGACCTTGCCAGCGCTACCGCCCCATTTGGGGACGCGCGTGCCTTCATGTTTATAGATATATGACGTTTTTACGTCGCCACGGCGCGTGCATGTTTCTAATGTTGCTCGTAAGTTTTTGTTGTGGTTTTACGTTGCGATATATGGCCCCAGCGTTTTTTCCCGAAAGTTGTGGATGCGTTGTTCAGTCGATGCGTCATTCTCTTTTTTTTGTACGTTGCACTGCCGTTTTCATTGCGTTGCTACGTTGCGTTTTGCTGTTCGGAGGTTTTGTCTAACGTTTCTGATGCGTTGCTATGTTTCTAGACAGTGACATATTAGTGATGTGTTCTTTGTTGTTCCAACGTTTCTGATACGTTGCTATGCTGTTTCGTCGCTTCGCTTGTCGCTATGGCGCGTTATGTTGTTCGAACGTTTTTCTAGGATTTTCACACGTCGGTATGTTACTACGTCGTTACGTCGTTGCGTCGTTACGTTGCGTTATATGTCAACGGCTTGTTTTCCAACGGCTTTGATGCGTTGGTGTGCTTCTTCGTCTCGTTATGGTTCTTCTGTTGTTTTGACGGTTTTGTTAAGTTGCTGCGTTGCACTATGTTGTTTTAGCGTGTCTTGAAACAAAAAGATCGAACGTTGTTGATGCGTTGTTACATTGTTACGTTGTGATATGTTGTTTCAGCGATGTTCCCACGTTTTTTGATGCGTTGATATGTTTTCACGTCGTTACGTCGCGTGCGTAGTTATACCGCGCTATGTCGCCGCAGCGTTTTATATATAACGCGTTTGATTTGTTGTTATGCTACGTCGTTACGTTGCTACGTTGCGTTGTAATGTTTTGTTGCGTCGCTTCGTTGCTAGTTGTTTTTGCTCTTCGATTTTCTAATGTGTCTGTAAGTTGTCTGATGCGTCGCCCGCGCCCTAAAGGGTTCTAAAGTCGCCCCCAGGGGCCCCCTGGGGCGTCGAAAGAGGATCCTTGGGGCCCCTAGTTGGCCGCGGCGGGGCCCAATCGTCTGCCCTTGGGGCCCCTGAGAGGCGCAATCTTGGGTCGGTTGGTGATGCGTCGACGCGCGGGGGCGGGCCCGCGCGCGTGGCCGCGCAGACCCGCGCATGCGCGGCGCGCGATCGCCAGGTAATCGGCATGCGAACAGGGCTAGCGCGACGTGTATATCTGTATACCTGTATATCTGTGTGTATATATATACATATATGTATATATAGATATATGCGTTGCAGGGCCCTCAAGAAAAGCGCGCGCAACCGCGCGCGCGCGGGGCGTCGGCAGGAACGGGGGTGGCGAGGCGAGGGGGGATTAGAATTCGCAATGCTGTGTATCCAGCATATGCGCTGCGGTCTGCGCTGTGCTTGAAGGGGCACCTGGCGGTCCAGATTCAGAGATTTGCAGTGCAGTTTCGAACGGCCGATGGGTAATTCGGATTCTGGCACATGTTCGAACGTCCAGGTGTCTCTGGCGTCCACGCCAGCATGCGCACATTCTAATGAGCAAACGTGCGCAACGACCAATGCATTGGGTCCACGCCTAGACGTAGCGCGAGTTTGCATTCATATGCCCTGTACGCACGCGCACGCACACGCGCGCACGCGCGTATATACACACACACGCATACGCACACACGAATGTGCACACACGCATACATACTTCACACACATGATGTGTCAGCGTGGGCGGAGGTTCCCCCGTTCGTCGGCGTGCATACACGGGTACAGGTATATATAGAGAGAGAGGGAGAGAGAGAGAGAGAGAGAGAGAGAGATGCGCATGCAGTTGTCCCGTAGGACGCATTGCCATTCCAATTTTCAGGCGCGCCAGTTCCGGTAGTTCGGCGGGACTTTTTGAGTGGCAATTCGGCCGCGTATCGTCATTCAAAACTGTAGCTCGCCCCCCCCCCGCCCCGCCCCCCCCCGCCCCGCGGCCCGCCGGCGGCGGCGTGGGCGGCGGGCGCCGTTGGCGACGGAGATCCCGCGCCAGCTCAGGCCGCGGCAGACCAGCTGGCCGCGCTGAAGACGGCAGCAGCAGCGGCGGCGACAGAGGCCGACGCCTCAGAGCTGGCAGACGAGCCGCGCGCGGAGCCGCCTTCGGTAAAGCGCCCGCGCAAGCAGGCGCCCGCCCAACAGGCCAACGAGGAGAAAGGGGGCGCAAGGCCGCCGAGAAGGAGGCGGCGAAGAAGGCCAAGGCTGAGAAGGGCAAGAAGGAGCAGGAGTTCATTCACGGCATGGAGGCATATTCCAAGGCGATTGTCCTGAAGCAGCAGCAGCAGCAGCATGCCTTCTCCCCCTCCTCGGCGACGGCTGGGGTTGTTGGCCTTGCGGCGGCAGTTGCTGCCGCGGCGGCCGCGGCTGTTGCTGCTGGCCCTGCGAGGGCAAACGCTGCCGCTGCAGCCGCAGCCCTGCGCCCGCGTCGCGGCCCCCCGACGGGGGGCGCCAACGTGGTTCTCTCGGTGGAGAGGCTCTCCGACTACGGC